CAAGCAACCAAGTTCATATAAGCATAAGACTTTTCACCCCAATTCATTCAATAAAGAAGTAAACCAAGATCACACATTAATAAAATTGGTCAAAGGATACGGACGGCTCTCAAGAGCCCCTTTTTCCTCGCTTGCATACTTGATCGGACCTCATTGACCCTCTGTCAATGTTTAAAGAGTAACCAACCGTAGGCTCCATTTTACTTCCATTCCTTCCACCCAACATACCCCTACCGGATCCGAACTCCAAACAGTTTAAAATTGGTAATACTCGAGTATACCGGAATCGAGAGTCTCATACTACAAGATTCCATATAACAGTCCCCATGGTTCGTCGATTTTCACGACCAAGCCCTTGCCGGCTCGATTCAAACAACTACCAATGGGGTTGAGCTCAGTAGTAACAGTAATGGCCGTTGGATACTCGTCCAAACGACACCAAAGCCAGTATTTCATGTACCATTTAAGTATCACAGGAAACAGTCATATTGAACATAAAGGTGAGAGTGATCAAGTACACTCTCACTTCAATCAATGTCAACGGTGCACATAACATTCAAGGCATCAATTTCAAGTGTAACCAAGCCACATAGTAGCAAACAAGTGAGTAGTACACTCACCAAGCAAGCAAGTGAAATTTCATGCACTTCCGCCCAAAGAGCGTCTTGAATCACCGTCACGCCCTAAAAGGTTCAAACAATCACAATAAGACTCGATTACAAGTCATAAACCAATTCCACATACTACCAAAAATAAGGCTCTATTAGAACGTATGAGTACCAAAGTAAGCTAGGGAAAATCCGGAAATGAAAGTTAAGCCCTAAAACCCAAAAATAGTTTTGATGTCATTAAGCGTATTGGACACAACCGGCACTACGATCATCGGATAGATGTACAATATACACCGTTTCGAAGCTAACAGAAAGGGATACAATGTTGAAGAAGGCCACTCAGTCCAGTTTGTAGTGAAACTAGGTCAAAAGTTCAATGTACCAAACCAGAACCGTATAAACAGGTTAACGAACCGCATTCTGGTTAAATAACCATAATTCAGGTTACCAAAGTCCAATTTAAGTGATTCCAAAGCCATCCGAAAGCTAAGATACCAGGCTATATTTCTTAAGAAGACATCAACAAACAAATCAGTAGTATTCCTGGTCAAACTAACCAATTACCGAAGCTGATTATCAAGTTCGGACAGAAAAAGGGCAGCAGGGGTATTTCAATCTTTTCATAGGCTACGTTGCTCCGATTGGCCTGAAATTTTGTAGAAATCTATAAAATATCATTCCCTACAACTTTCATGTTTTATCCCAAGGCTAACTCGGCCTCTAACTAGGGGAAACAGTACCGGGCAGAATGGGTTCAATTGCAACCCTAATTTCCGAAATTTCCTTTCAAAGCGAAAATTTTCCGCAAATAGCCACAATTTACACCCTAAGGATTCATTCTAAACCATTCCCAACCATCATCCATGGCCACACAATATTAATCATATGAAAACAGAAAAATCATGAATAAATATAAAACTTCACCAATTTCTACCAAAAATCATGAAACAACACCTAATATCATCACTTCATCTCACATAAGTCACTAATTAAGCATTATTGAGAAGAAAGAGAGGTCCCTTATCTACTCACCTTAACAACCAAAGAAAGGGAGCAATTTAGCACCTTAATCTTCCAAGCCACTTCACTAATCACCTCACAACTACTAAGAAAAGGAGTTTTATGGAGAACTTTCAAGTTTAATCGGTTGGTTTGTTGGATTGAGCAAGGTTTGAGATGAAGAAAGTTGAAGAGTTTTTCCCTTTCCTCCCTAGCAAGGTTCGGCTAAGAGCTTGCAAATTTGGGTGATTTTTGGGTCAATTTTTGATTTAATTGGTAAAGTAGTGAATAGTGGTCAAAATGTAAGAATTACTCTCCAAGTGACACTTGTCACCACCATTAATGCATGGCTATCCTTTTGTCCCTCTCACACTAATCCATTTAGTAACCTCTAGTTATCTCTTAACACCTGCTAAAGGAAACTCGGTATCCAAAACTTAACCTAACTGGCCGAATTTTTCCGAGCTTTCCGCACTAGCGGGTCCCACGTCCGGTATACACTCTTAATTTCTCAAAAACTAACCGATACTAGAAAAATCATCTAAAAACTATATTTACTCATAAAAATTATTTAGAAAATTTTCCTAATAAGGAGAATGCGTAAAAGGCGTGCAAATAAATAAAATAATGTCTAGAAATTGAGAAATTTACGGGTTCTCACATAACCTCTCAAAGCTTCCATTTTTCTTTCATCTTTTAGTTAGTTTTAGTTAGTTTTTAGCTAGATAAACTTGGATTTATTGATGGGTTCCATGAACCTTGACTTTAGGTAGATGCCTTGAGGAAAATTCTTAGGTAGTGGCCTTGAGGATTTCTTGTTTGTTTGGTTGTTGTTTAAGTGATTTCTAGCTTGGTTTTGGTGTGAAAGTTGGAGAGAAAAAATTGAAGAGAAAGAAGAGCAAAGCTGTCTGATTTTTACTGGTTTATTTCCTTTGTTTTAATTTCGAAATTTATGGTTATATTGATGCAAAAATGCTTGCTACATGTTGGGTTATATGTGTGTAAATTATCTTCCAAAAAGCGCTTTATTTGGATGAGTTAAAGTTAAGATAAAGAGAGGAAAACAAACCTGGAAATTTCTGATCAGTGCAGCCGACCAGTGCGCACTCAACAGCACATCATTTTTCATACAAGAGTCAAAATCAAGTGCCATTTGCAGCATGTGAAACTACACTCCGAGAGCTTTCTAACAGTATAAAATGCACTTGCTAGTTCATTTTCTATGAGTTGCAGTGAACCAGCAAAATTAGCTGTTTTTCCTCGCTATTTTAACCGAGAAACAAGCACAGCTGCAGTTTTAGCTCATTTTCACTCATCTTACAAAATGAATGTGAAGATAGTTTCTTCTAGTAATTTTTAGCACTTTGAATCTAGTTTTCAACGTCATAAACCACGCTAATTTTGAACTTGTGTAGACTTATTTATGACCAGATTAGAAACTGTGTCAAATGTTCCAAAACTGAAATTTCATGAATCAGGTTTCAAAAACCAGCTTTAGAAAAACTGTTGTATCTTGGTGTAGAAAAAATCCAAATTGAGTTCTATTTATTGTGTTTGAAAATAGACTTGGAGTTCTTTCAGTGGTATAAATTTCAAGGATTAGTTTGATTCCTATGAATTTTGACAAATTTTCAAAATTCACTGAAATTCAAGACTGTTTTACCCTGTTCTCACTAAAGCAGTGATTTAGAGCTCCAATTTGATTGATTTCTGATTGGAATCTGTAAGGATTGAAGACAACCTAAGACGGGGAGTGAATTAGGTGGTTTAAAAAATTAGCCAAGATATGAGTCACTTTATAAGAACTTGCCTTCTTTTTCTAAAGGATCACACAATGGAGCAATTGATGAGAAAGTACAAATGTTTGGGAGTAGAAGAGATAGACAATTTATATTGCAAGACAGTAAGTAAAACGATAGAATAGCAAACCAAGTTTCAAACTCCACTTGAGTTTGAATACCACTTTATATAGCAAGATTCTTCAAGTTGATCAACTTACAACCAATCTCTTGTGTACAAAGGAAGGATCACTTCCTCCCCCGCCCCAAGCTACACTTGGTCAAGCAAGGAAGTTTTACTATCACTCGGATAACCCTCACAAAACAACACTATTGAAGAAATAGAAACACACTTGAAAAGCTTATCGAAAGTTACACAACTAAGAGTACAAATCTTCTTTAAAGAGTATTCTCACACTTGAATCACTCAAGATCTGATGTAGTCTCAATGTGCAAAGTTGTTTTTAAGTGGTTGACTTTGTTCTATTTATAAGAGACCAAAAAAATTCTTCAATTAATGCTACCAAGGAACAGAAGGTAGCTGAAGAGTCAACTAGCCGTTGGTAGTGTCGGACGTCCGGTAGGCTAATTTCCTGTGTCCGAACGCAGGTAGAGAGTTCAAGAAGTTTTCTTGAAATGTTTAGGACGTCCGGTACCTCCAGAATATGCGTCCGAATGTATGATGCAAAACTGGGAATTCTCCTTCAATTCGTTCGGACGTCCGGTGCCTCCAATATTTTGCTTCCGAAATGTCACAACGTTTGTCGGACGTCCGATACTCAGGTGTTGTACATCCGATCGGGGTCAATGAGCTTAGAGGACTTGGCTTATCATCTTCGGACGTCTGAGACTGGGTTCTTCATGCGTCCGAAGTAACTCAATGGTTGTCGGACGGCCGATGCAGTCTTTATGTGCGTCCGACAGCTATTTCAACACATGTTAGCCTTTGAATCTGTTTTGCTCCAATTCTGAAAAGATCTAATCAGAAAATATTAGTAACATCCATTTGTTTTGTAATAATCAAAAGTTACGAATTGAGATAAACAATCTCCCCCTTTTTGATGATGACAAAACAATGGATGGAGTAAAATGGTTTTAGATACAACTCCCCTAACTTAATGCATTCAAGGAGTATTTACAACTTCCCTTCAGAATAATGTTCACTCCCCCTTAAAATGACTCCCTCTTACATATAGATTACATGTCATATCCATATCTCCCTCTTTTTGTCATCATTGAATCAAACAGTAAAATTATCCATATTACCAACAATGTGGTCGTTCATTGGCTCACCAAACTGAATTTAGCAACACAGCAGAACAACAACATCATCCATCCAGAACCGAAACCAAAGCATTATCAACCAAAAACTAATTTGCAGATAAACTGAAATAAACAACATTCAACATAAAGGATAACTAAATAGTTTTACAGACCAGTAGAGGAGTAAAATCCTTAAGACAGAGCACAACAAATGTTTTTAAGTGCAAAAGATGCAAAAACCTACTATGAACTATTATTCTAATCATGAAGTGCAGTAGCCGAGTAGTGCCTATATGGTGATCTTAGAGGATCCAGGCCTTCTTCTACCCAGGCCAAACTGGGCAGGGTCTTATTCCTCAGTGTCCTCATCCTCATCATCATCATCCTCTTCAGTCTCTTCTTCAGTTGCCGGAGCTTTTCCCTTGTCCTGTGGTTGAGAACTGGAGGCACAGTACTTTGGGGTAGCCTCAGTGGTTGGCTTTGTTCTAGGCTTTTTTCGGTGTGCATTTTCATTTTCTGGAGGAATGGGAGGTACAAGCAGATTCCTTTTGGCAACGAAGGTGGCTTGTTGATCAGAAGTCATGGTCATCATCAAGCCATCTTCAAGAAGCAGGATATGTTGTTTGAAGTCATCAAGCAGAGAGATGACCTCAAGGTTGGATGAAGTATGCATAGAGGCTGACCTTCTAGGATGAATGGTGAAGGGTGTCACATACATAGACTGGTCTCGAGGAGTTCTAGGGGTTACAGGAGTTTCATGAAAATTTTTTCTCCTAAACTTAGAGACAATTTCTTTGTAGCACCAATGACCCTAAAAAAATTTCAGATTTTTCCTTTCAAAGTAAGCCTTTGAAAACACAGTTGATGCACTCTCTTTTGGAGATTTGCCAGTAAAGGGAATTTCAAAATGAGTAAAAATAGGAGTCAGAAATTTTCCATAGGACAGTTTCCTACGGCTGTCAGTGCTGATTTTGAGCAGAATTTGCACATGACAAAACCAAAATCAATTCGAATTTTTTCAAGAAAACAGTAGAACAGATAAAGTTCCATTTTGTTTGCATCAGTTCTGTGACCATCAGTGGTCACCAACAGATTTGAAATTATGGTAAAAATGATCAGGTTTTGAGGATTAAGATCTTCCAATCTTGCCTCAACAGGAGTATTAAAGTGAGACTGAAAATAGGTCATCAATTTTGCAACATGAAAGTGATGGTATGCAGAGGGAAATTCTTCGTAAGAAAAGAAATTTACAATTTTGCCTTTAAAACCATTTTTAATTTTGGTTTCCAAAACAGAGTTGACAATTTCAGGATTCAGCTCTATGTTAACAGAATTGACACGTGAAATGAGATCAGTATGTGATTTACCCTTTCTAAGGTTTGGCAAAAATTGATGAAGCATGTCAGGATAGTAGGTGTTTGGAATGGTCAAAAGATGGGTCTATTTTTGGAATTTAAAAAGGTTGAGAACAGATTCAAGGTCAAGCTTACGGAATTCGTAGGGAATGATGGTCCTTTGAGTGATGAACCCTTTCTGCGAGATCCATTCAAACCTCTCCCTGGCTTCATCATCGATGAACTTGGGCAGGGGAGTTGGTTCAACAGCAGTTTGGGTCTCTGGTTGTTCATTTTCTGGATGCTTTCTTTTTCCACTGCGTTGAGTAGTTGGTGCAGTACCCTGGACACCAGACCCTGTCCTTGGTGACTTCCTGGTAGATGGTTCATCAGCTTGCTGTTTCTCAGCATTTTTCTCTGCATCCTGCTATTTCCCAGAGGGATCAGCAGTTTGCCTTCCCTTGGGTTGAGTAATGCTCTTCCTTTTGGCAGTCATTTTTCCTTTCCTGGGTGATTTCATGGTGGTTACATCTACATTGGTAGGCTGCTCCAGTTCTTCTTCATTGCCACTTACTAGATGCCCTTCAGATTGATGCTCCTCCATCTGCTCATCAGATGGTTTAATCGATGGCTCTCTGGTTTGCGCATTCTGCTTTTTCCTTGCAGATTGCTTCGTTTTTCCACCACGATTTCCAGTTTTCTTTTTGGGTGATTTGACGGATGGTTCGATAACTTGAACATCTTCATCCTCCTCATCATGAAGCTTGAAGGTGCGTCCGGCACTCACGGATCCTCCTCTAATCCTCACCATGATTGCAATGCAGTGTGATTTTGTTGTGTAATGTAATACAAATAAGTATCAAAAGATGAGGAGTGCAGTATGAATTACAGTGGATGCACGAACTGTCCACAGAGGGAGAAATTTTTGTGGTTAAGGTTTCGGGTAAGAATTGAAATTTAAAGTGCAATTAGCGGTTGGGGGAAGTTATGATGCGCAATAAACTCGCAATAGGTATGTGAAGGTGTCGGTCAGAGTGATTTCTTGGTACTTGTTCCGAGAAGAGATGAATTTGAATTTTGAAATTGAGGGAATATGAAGAGTTGCGTCCGAGACAAAAGGGTAGGAATAAACTGAATAACGCAGAGGGCTTCCTTATAAGACGCAATTTTTGAGTGTCAGACGGCCGAACGAAGTAGAGCGTCCGACACCTCCGTCCGAACCAAAATTTTCTGAGAAAATGATCAAGAACACTATCGGACGTCCGTTCTAACACATCGAACGCCCGATAAGGAGTGACCAGAGAATTTTTAGAGTGTTTTTTCTGAAACGCCCAATTCTGTTCTCAAAGACACAAATTGATCCAGTGGTAAGGCTTTTGTGAGAATATCAGCAATTTGATCTTTTGAACAGACATATTGAACACAAATTTCACCCTTATGGACAAGATCGTGAATGAAATGATACTTTATGTCAATGTGCTTTGTCCTTGAATGTTGGATGGGATTTTTTGTCAAATTTATTGCACTAGTATTATCACAATATATCGGCACACAATCATACATCAATCCAAAATCATTCAATGTATTTTTTATCCACAATAATTGAGCACAACAAGCTCCAGCGGCAACATATTCAGCTTCAGTTATAGATAATGAAATAGCATTTTGTTTCTTGCTAAACCAGGATACTAAGCAATTTCCAAGAAAGTTACATATGCCTGTTGTACTTTTTCTATCAACCCTACAACCGCCGAAATCAATATCAGAGAATCTACACAAAGGAAATCCATGACACTTAGGATACCATAGACCAAAATTCAAGGTTCCTTTTAGATATCTAAGAATTCTTTTTACTGCATCTAATTGAGATTCCTTTGGACAAAACTGAAAACGAGCACATAAGCACACAACAAATATGATATCTGGTCTATAGCAGTTAAGTAAAGCAAACTGCCAATCATACCTCTGTACTTCTTTTCATCAACTTTTGTACCTTCTTCATCCTTGTCAAGCTTGGTAGATGTGCACATAGGTGTTCTGACCTGCTTGAATCCTCCATTCCAAATCTTTTGAGCAGCTCCTTGGTGTATTTTGTTTGGTTGATGAACGTTCCATCTTGGGTGTGAACCACTTGGAGTCCAAGGAAGAAATTTAATTCTCCCATCATGCTCATTTCAAACTCTTTTTGCATGATATTGGAAAAATCCTTGCACAAGCTCTCATTAGTAGCACCAAATATAATAACATCTACATATATTTGCTATGACGGCCCCACCTCCCCCTAAGGCGAACCAGAGGGTTCGACGGATCACCTGCCCAACTCTCGCCAGGACTACGGAGACGAAACATATACAACCTATCGAACTTGCAAGAGAAATTCCGATAAAACGAACTATCGAAGCTTATCAAGTCATTCATACACAAGAAATGTTATCACGAATGATAATACAGCGTTCGAACGCTTAATCGGTCACGGAAAATGAAGAAATGAAAATTTGTCACGGATGAACAGTGCCCGCCACGTCACTATCCGGCCGGATTTCCTGCCGGATTCCTGGCCGGATAGGGGGCAAAAGATCAGATCAAAGGAGTCAATGCCGGCCGGAAACTGGCCGGATTCAGGCCAGAGGCAAATCCCAAAATTTTTTCTTCCTCCCTTGTATATCCGGCCACAACTTGGCCGGATTTGATGAACAGTACCCACGTCAAGGTTTTCCTATTTCACGCAAATTCCACATTTGTTCAAACTTCCGACCAAAACACAAGGAGCCTATGAACCAATATTGTAGGAACATACCATGTAGTATATACATCATATAACATAACATAACCCCTTCTCAAAGGTAAAGTGTTACAAGTACAAATCAAAAGAGAATGTTTGATCGGTTACAGTTAGGGTTTCCCCAATAATCGAGGAGCTATACAAAAGAACAAAATGCCTAACTAGCTCAACTCGTTTTCTCAAACACGATTCCAAAATGATTCCTATATGGAAAACAAAATAACGAGGGTGAGCTTACGCTTGTGAGGTACCAACAAGACAAACAAGTAAACACATACTCTCACATAGTTATCCAAAGCTCATAAGGAAACAAGTCAATTTAAAAGGATACAATTGAGAGCCACTTTCCACTTGCCGTACTTGATCTCAAACCCGTTGACACTCCGTTAACCTTTGAAGAGAAGAACAAATCGTAAATTTCCACTTTACACCCCATTCCTTCCACCGGTCACCCCCTTAACGGGCCCGAACACCTCACAGTAACAAAGAGGGTAATACTCGAGTATACCAAAATGTCGAGAAATTAACGCTCCACTTGACCAACAGTGAACCCAAGGTCCGTTATCGATTCGTCCAAGCCCTTGCCGGTTCGACTCGAATAACGACCAATGGTGTATGAGCTCAAATATCACAGTTAAGTTGTCGGGCATAGCCCAAACAATATCAAAACATACACAGATACGATTGTACAGTTAAACAGTAACAGTAGTATCGATAAGAGATCGAGAGCGATAAAGTACACTCTCGTCTCATTCAAGCCATTCAAGTTCACATAGCAAGTATAAATAGTCATTTAAGCACTAGACCATATAATGGTACACTCACCGAATCAAATAAGCAAGTTTACACGTTCGCTTCAGACGTAGGTCCTAGATCACCGGTACGACCTATAACAAGTAAGAAAACCACAATTGAGACTCGAACACAAGTCAAACTACTATAATGAGTTACTAGTATAATATAACTAAACGTAAAATGGAGTGACAGTGGGTGTTAGTGTGAGAGCCCGTAATTTTTCCATTTTAGGGTTTTATTATATTCAATGGCTTGTTTTCTGCATTTTCGTGATTAGGAAAAATTCTAGATCTTTTTAAGGAGCAGATATAGTTTTTAGATGATTTTTCTAGTATCAAATAGGTTTTGAGAAATTAAGAGTGTATACCGGACGTGGGACCCACTAGTGCGAAAAGTTCGGAAAAATTCGGCCAACTAGGTTAAGTTTTGGATACTGGAATTAATTTACCGGGTGTTAAGAGATAAGTAGAGGTTGCAATTTGGATTGGTGTGAGAGGAAACAAAGTGATAGACTTGCATTAATGGAGGTGACAAGTGTCACCATTGGATTGGTCCTTAAGTAAGACTACTATTCCTTTTCTTACCATTGACCAAATAAATCAAAAAAAATAACCAAAAATTCACCATTTTCTCTTCATCTTGGCCGAGCTCCTTGAGCAACAAAAGAAAGAAAACTCTTCAAGATTTTGGCTTCAATCTTGCTTCAATCAACTTACTCAACCATCCAACCTTGATTTTGCTCCGTAAAACCACTTAAGGGAGTGATAGTGAAGTGTTGTGTGGAGTTATTTGGAAAGCTAAGAGGACTTGTTGCTCTCTCTCTCTTGTTTCTAAGGTGAGTTGTGAAGAACCACTCTCCTCCCTTTATTGATGCTTAAATCATGCTTAGTGGTAGTATGAGATGCAATATTATGGATTATTTCTTGATTTGTGGTTGAATTGATGAAGTTTTATAATTTTTGGGGATTTTTCTGTTTTAATATGAACATGATTGTGTGGCTATATATGATGATTGGAAATGATGTTTAAGGACTCTATGAGGTGGAAAAAGTGGTTAATTGCAAACAATTTCTGTTTTGGAAGAAATCTTGGAAAGTTAGGGTTTATGATGATAACATTCTGCCCGATTTTGTATCTCCTAGTTAGAGGCCAAATTGGCCTTGTATTAAAACATAAAAGTTGTAGGGAATGATATTTTAGAGGTACCTACAAAATTTCAGGTCAATCAGAGTAGCGTAGCTTTAGAAAAGTCTAAATTACCCTTGCTGTTCTGGTTTTACCCGAATTGGAGAATTGCTTCTGTAATTGGTTATTTTGGTTAGGAATGCTTCCGAATTGGTTGTTGAGACCTTCTGATGAAATGTAACCCTGTTTCTTAGATTTCATCTGGTTTTGGAATTTCTGGATTTGGACTTGGATAGCTTGATTTATGATGTTTCCGCTAGAATGCGTTCTGTGAATCTGATTTTGCGATTCTGGTGTAGTATCTTGCATTTTTGACCTGGTTACACTCGAAAATGGGTTGAGTGACCTTATGCAATATTGTAGCCATATCTCTTAGCTTCGAAACGGTGGATCTTGGACCTTCATCCGATAATGATAGTGCCTTTGGTGCCATTACCGTAAAATGACGTCAAAAACTATTTTTTCAGGGTTAAAGCTAGTTCCATTTCCGGATTTTTCTGGTTTCCTCTATTGCTTGTGTGTGCTTATGGAACCCTATTTTGGTAGTATTTGGCATTGGTTTATGATTTGTAATCGAGTCTTATTGTGTTTATTTGAATAGTTTAGGGCTTGACTTTCATAGCCGGTCATTTCCTAGCTAAATTTTGTACTTGAATGCCATTAAGCCTAGTGAACGGCTTTTGGGAATGAGATTATTTTTGTACGAGATGTTGGGACTGATTTGAGGAAATAATGAAGCCATGATGGCTGGAAAATAGGTAAACACAAGGGATATGCTGCCGAAATTTTACTTGAAAGCTAGTTGGATTTACTTGTGATTTGAGCGAAGGGCTTTTGGGTTGTTTGAGCCTAGGTCTTCATGTTACCTTTTCGTTTTCAAAAATTCATGTTTTGCACCCTTGCTTTAGTAATTATTTGGCGAGGCATACGACTGGTAGTCGAGCCTCACATATACTCGATTTTTTAAAGTGGAACCTTCAATTGTTTTCCTTGGATTATTTTAGGGTTTCTTGGTGATTAAAGCTCTCTTTTGGGAGGTATCTGTACTG